CGAAGTCGAAATTTCTTAAATATTTAACATAGAAAGTTAAAACAATGTTTTCCACTTGAAATTATACATATGTTAACTAATACAATAGTTTTATTCACATTATCTCTATTTATTTCACTATTTAAAACACTTTTAAATTTCTTATACAAAACTATCATTATTTCACTTATAAACAGGAATTTTCACATAAAAATAACACAGAATTCACCTTTTTAGCACGTACAATCAACCTGAAATGTTTTACAAGTCATTTTTACATAAATTGCTGAAATTACAAACATTTTAAATTTTTACATATTCGGCCTCCTAAGTACGTGGCTAGCGTGCGTCTATGAACTCACACTATTTGAACAACTAACTTTTGCACGGCTCTCGGCTATCAGAAAAAATGGAAGTCTGATATACACCAATTTTAACAATATTAGGTAAATTAAATGCTTTTATACAATTTTCAAACTGTAGGAAACTATTTCTAATCAGATTCTTATCAGTTATCATGTTTCTTATCAAACAATATAAGTGAATGTTCTCATAAATCAATCATGGCATTTGTTTTCGTACAAAACATATCAAACTTATATAAGACAATACTTATGCAATTAATTTCCGTTAATTCTATTTATGCACAGAGTGATCATCTCGACCGGGGAACAAATCCGATCTTTAACTTTATTTAAATATTCCTTTGAATTTACATCATTGGAAAGATGATTTCAACCGGGGAACAAATCCGGTAACATAATTTATATCATAAAATTCCCTATATGAATTTATTGAAAGATATTACTTAGGAAAACAATAAACTAGTCCGGCCTGGGAGTCGAACCCAAGACCTTCATATCATTAATTCGACATTTCTTCAAGATTTAACTAAGCATTTTCTTATTAGAACATTGTTGCTCGATAATTTGTTTTTTAGAAGCTATTCGTCATCGGTTGACTTAATAAACTGAAATACTCTTATAGGCGCGTCGCCAACAGAAGGAGATAGAAGAAAGAAACACAGACTGGATTGTTTGTTACGTCGTTGTGTGATTGATTGCACGACTCTAAAAATATGCATATAAAGTACAATTTAGATTGTCTTGTCACCTTGAAATCGAGTCCAATAAGATCGAACCCTCTAGAGACTAATAATTCGATCACTCGTCAACAGGTTGCGATCAATCGCGATCGACACAGGTCTACTCGGCGATTTTCTAGACGTTGCATAAAAGATTGGACCATACTAAGCATCATAGAGCAAGCAAATAAAGTAAAGGCGGTTTAGATTTCATCACTCATGGGTTTTATGTTTAGGTACTCTCTGGTCTTGGTTACATATGATGGGGGTTAAATTTGATTTTTTTTGAGTGGCAGTGTAATGTAATTTAGCCTAGGACAGGCCAATAAGTCACAATGGATAATCTTTTAAATGCTCTGGTGTTTTGGGTGGATAGTGTTCGAAAAGCACCATTATACTTTTGCAATTTGACGCAAACGGAGTTTTTTTACTGAATTTATTTAATATTCTTTCTTGATATTCTTCAAGTTTTTCTTAGAATATAGTAGTTAAATAATCATGTAAATACAGCACTTACGTATGAAAAGTAAGTTTAGTTGTTTGTTTCTTTCCGCTTACTAAGGCTTTTGTAACCAATAACACTGCAATGGATCATGTTTTTCACACGTAAACCCTTATTATAAAAGAGTGACCTTCTGACATTTTGTTTACAGAAACACATTACTTTTTTAGTTGGTCGCCCAGAGCGAGCATCATCATTGCAGGCGGTTCTGCCACGTTCAAACTCAGCGCACCAGTATGCCACTGCAGAATAAACCGAATCAATATCTACCAAAGGAGACTGCAGTGTTTCAAAAACACGTTTTGTAAAAAAAATTGCAGCAGAAATATTTAATAACCGCAAGAAGTTCGAGTTTCTCCATTTTGTATACGGATCACATTCCCGCCAAATGAGAAGTTTGAAAAAAAATTGGGTACGTATACTTTTTAATTTAGTTTTTTCTGGCCTTGGGTACTAACAAATTATATACTGTGTAACTAAAATGGTAGATTATCGGCGGCTGGGGGGTGAAAGAACTCAATGACCAGTCCTGTTGATTTAACCCCTCTGTATGTTCTGCGATATTCAGTAGTTCAAATTTTGTTTGGACTTTTGTAAAATTTTAGTCAAAAGAGATTTTATACACCGGCCGTGCCAATGTTTCTTGGGAAAACGTCGCTGAGTACCGGAGCAAACTTGTGTCTTTTAAGGTACTTCCATTGTTGCCTCTGCCAGTATCGGAATCCTCGGCGTCGACATATGGGGATATCATATAAGGAAGTGCAGTTTCGTGGTCATCTGGAAGAGAAGGCTAAATTGGTCTCTATAAAGTTTGGAATGCTCAGCAGAGCGGGACAGTACTTCAGAGGATACCTTCAAAATGAATCGAAGTTTTGGGGGCGTGGCTTACTCCTTTGTCGGTGAAGCTAACGAATGACTGCGGGAGTGTCAAAATGAAAGTGATGCAATGACTTCATAGTACGCAAATTATGAGATAGCCATACCGAGCAAGCGCTCGGAAAAAAAACTAAGTAAGCGCCAAACAACATTTTTATTTATTTTAACAAAACTTCGTTATGTATTAAAAAACTGGTTTATGAGAACTTAGATATGATTATTTACTATGCCTTAAAAATAATTCTATGAAATTATTCGTAAGAATATTGTTGTGTCATCGAGAAATGTAAATAATTAGTCTACTTGGCAATTTTTTTATCGAGAAAATTACATGATATCGTGTTTTCATTTTATGCAATCCAAGATCATATAGTCAAAAATCATATACAAAAATTTTGGTTTGTAATCTATAAAACTTTAAAAAGAAAAACCACCAAATCCTCAAGGTATCTTCCTTCCGGCCTTCATGCCGGCACACCACCTGCAACTTTACAAAGCGTAGGTCGAAAATTTTTAAATCTTTGGCGTAGGTTGATTTTTTGACATGAAGGTTTCCTCACGATTTTTCCTTCACTGCCGAACAGCATATCTGCATGCTGCTAAATCAGCAATAAAAATGGCAATTTACAATTTCATTGGTGCGGGCGGGGATCGAGCCCGGCAAAGATTTAAATCGGTGGAGCCCGGGTTGTTCATGTACAGTAAACGCTTAGTCCCTGAGCCATAGTACGGCTCTCGGCACATAGACAGTCGCAACATAGAAAGTCCAATAAACAGGTAGTCTTCATTCCGAGGTAACAATAATCCAAATCACTTCGCAAGTATTGGAGTGCAATAAACGAGTCTATTTCAGAGGAGAGGAGAAAAAAGTACAGGTAAGAGCAGAGGGGTATAGATACCATAAACGGCATAGATAATAAACAACTAAGGAAGGAACTTATAATATAATATCCCTAACTAGAAAAACAACAAGTCCTTCTAAGAAAGCAATGGCCATTAAAATACCAAACCACCTAATCAGCCAACCACAGCAGTGCAAGAGCGAGACATAATGTTTTTATTTAGCTATCCTCTTCTTTAAAACACCAGCTGTTACCTGATAATAAGCGCAGGTCAGCATGTCACTGCGCTTCTATCTTCTAACTTTTTCGGTAACTAAACTATTCAAAGCAGTTTTAGTGTTTAAAAGCAGGGATTTTTGGTACTTGGACTATTTAAGTACATTTTTTTATATGAAACTACTGGCGAAATGATATTTTCAGATATTTATACTTGTAGATATGATCGGACGATTTTAAATTTCATATATACCTGCCGGTCTACTCGCAATATCATATTAATATCGAAAAATATGCCAAGAATATAATATTTTAGGGAATTTATAAAAATTCAAAACATCTTTCCGTAACTATTAATTTTTGTTTTAATTGATAATTAAGTAAATACCCTTTTCACATAAAGGTTTGAATACTTTTTCTAAAATCGCCACCTTTCTAAAATCGTCGTCACGTCGCGTCGTCTGATATACCTACATACATCCATGAAAATAACACATTTATTAAAAAAAGCGATAAATAGGTATATTGGGATTTTTTCCCCCCGCCCCAATATAGCCCCCCCCCCCCCCCACCCCCCGAATAAGGGTGACAAAGCGAGCACACAATCCTCCCGATGGTAATTGCTTGCTGTAGCCCATAGACATCTACATCTATCCTCAATTACGAATCAAAATGCAGGTGCGTTGTCACCCGTAAGGACTAAAGATGGAATACATCGTTTCCAGTATAAAGGGTCTCCGATTCTCTGCACTCACCATACATAATACAGCAGCATTAAGCTATTCTTTTGCGCTGGTATTCTTTAAGAGCGTGGTCCTTCCCCGGACGAGCCGACCCATTCGTGCTACAACTATACTACTAATATAACTGCAGCATGGCTCTCCACGTAAATTAAAAAAATCATATTAATTTTACAATTGTTACATTTTTTATATAGAATAAGGGTGACAAGCAAGCACACAGTCCAGCTGATGGTAAGTGGATGTTGTGGCCCATAGACATCTACAGTTATCCTCGATTAAGAATCAAAATGCAGATGTGTTGTCATTCCTGAGGACTAAGATGGAATGCCTCATGTCCAGTAAAGAGGGGTCTCCGAATCTCTACACTCACCATACAATACATAGCAGAATTAAGTTGCTATTTTACGCTGGTAGTCTGTGAGAGCGTGGTCCTTCCCCAGTCGAGCCGATCCATTCGTGGTACAACCATAATATAGCTACAGTGTGGCTCTACCACGTATAAATAAGGCTGTCATGGCCATATGAAAATGTTAACGCTCAGTATTAGTATTCTCGGCGGCAGGTAAATTAGAGTTGCAATAACACATGAACAGCAATTAAAATAAATTGGTCGATTATATTATAAACCTATAGAGCCCGTATGAAAACCAGTCAAGAAAAATATTAATACATTTAATACTTCTGAATGTAAATGATCTTTAATACATTAAAATTTGTTATATTTTATAAGATGTTTAAAATTTAATATAAATCTATGTTTATGGCCGTTTTTGTGTGTCGGTGACAACTTGCTTGTCCCTGGCGAACGCCTCGGCGGTGACGACTGACGAGTCGGCAGTGTTTGCTATGGCGGTGGCAACTCCTTCGTCTTGTGAATTTGCTGTGCTGCTAGCAACTGATGAACCAGTACAGGTAGCTGTGGCAGTGGAGCGTCCCATGTTATATGCTTCTGCTGTGGCGTCCGCTTTTGCTGAGCCAGCAGTGTTTACATTTGTGGTGGCGACTCCTGCGTCGTGTGCGTGTGATGTTGCGTACCCAACTGATGAGCCAGCGGTATTTAACGTGGCCGTGGCGACTCCTGCGTCGTATGAGTGCGCTATGACGGTGGCTACTGATGAGCCGGCAGCATTTACCGTAGCCGTCGAGGTACCCCTACCATATGTCATTGCTGTTGCGGTGGCGACTGCTGAACCCGAAGCTATTGCTGTAGCAACATGTGGTCCCGTGCCTTGGCCACCCATCACAGCAGTAGTGACTACTGGGCTAGAGCCAACTGCTTTGACGGTGACGCCTATCTCGCCATTTCTGTTATCTGTAATGAATATGTAATTGTAATTCACCGTAATTTATCTTATTAAAGCAAATACTAAATGGTATCAAATACACTGTGGAGATAGAATGTTTCATTTAGAGGTAATTTCAAGGAAGAATATATATACTTGATGACCTTTTTTACCGTCTGGAAAAAAAATAGGGTGTAATATGTGGACGCAGTAGAAGCCTATTGCCGAAATTTTTTACAAAATAAAAACAAAAATTTAAAATTAAGTAAATGAATTAATTAAAATCTATCGAAATTCAAGTAGTGTCCACCCTACTTGACGAACGGCAATAAAACAATAAATTTAGTACATAGCCATCTTCAACCTTGTCACTTCGCAAGGTCACAGGCTAGGGTGGATATGATTTGAATTTCATTATATTTTAATAAATTAATTTATTATGTTTTTATTTTTTCTAAAATATCAGTGCCATACTTCTACTCCGTTCACATGTTATATCCTATTAGAATAAGTTTGACAAATGAGCACGTGGTCTTTACGTGATGAGATTAGAATGAGTTGTTCCCCCTAAGTGTAATGCTTCTTTACCAGTAAAAACATCCTCTAATTGTTTACACACCTTTGATTATATACAGGTATATAATCAAAGCTACACACACTATATGAAATGTGTGTTTCAATTTTATTGGAAGGAAGGCACCACGCTTTCACGAATGTTGAGTATTCTGTGAAAGCGTGGTCCTTTCCTTGTCGAGTCGACCCATACGTGCTACATACAACCTTAATATATGTATTTACAGCGTGGCTCTACCATAAAGAAAACCATTTATGTGCATACATATGGACAACAAGTAAAAAAATGAACGACGCAACGGAAGAAACACATTAGGCACTTGATAGAGGAAAGGTTGGTGGCAGTATCTTCCTGATAACAGCTGAATAAAAATAGCATCCTGCGTTTGCATGAGCAGTGGACTTTTAATAGGATTAAAAAAAAACATTTTTTATAGAGTTCGGGTGACAAACGAGCACACAGCATCACCTGATGGTAATTGTATGCTGTGTGTGTATTTATCTTAGATTAAGAATCAAAATGCAGATGCGTTGTCACCCCTGAGGACTAAGATTGATTCTCTCGATTCTAGTAAAGTGGGTTTCCGGTCCCCTTCACTCACCATAGGAATCACAGCAGCATCAAGCTATTTTACGCTGGTATTCTGTGAGAGCGTGGTCTTTCCCCGGTCGAGGCTACCCTTTCCACAATATAGCTGCAGCGTGGTGCTATTGTGTATTAATATACTACCATTTTATTATTTCGACGTGAAAATTAACAATTCGATATGTAAAGGAAATTATAAGCCATTCTGAATTTCAAACCGTTGCGAGATTAATCATTTACATTTTTAAACTAGCTGTTCCCCGCGACTTCGTCCGCTTGGAACTTATTACCGTGGATATCATGGATTTTAATTTTTTTGCACGGAACCCTAAAAGAAGATTAAGTTACTCCCTATAACATTAGCTATGCCAGTGAAAGTCCCATCAAAATCGGTTCAGCCGTTTCGGAGATTAGCCGGAACAAACAGACAGACACATGGATAGACAGACAGGCAGTCAAAATTTTTTTTTGTTTTAAGTATCGTATATATTTGTATGTCTGCCTCGTTGGTCTAGCGGTTGTAGTAGTGCGACTGCTGATCATGAGGTCCTGGGTTCGAATCCCGGGTCGGGCCAAAAAATCAATTATTAAGTTTTTCTGTCAAGAAATTCTCAGTAGCTGCCTGGAGTCAGGAAATTGGCGGTGTCTCACCCCCGTGCCTCGGAAAGCACGTAAAGCCGTTGGTCCTGCGCCTGATCTCTCTCCGGTCGTGTCGGTTTACCGTCCTATCGGATTATGAGAGTGAGGGAATAGAGAGTGCACCTGTGCTCGTGCATACACTTGGGCACTATAATCCTGTCCTGCGCCGTTGGCTACCCTCCGTTGAGGTAGGCCACCGTGACCGAAATTCGGTCTGGAGGATATTTTTATATTTGTATGTACAGTAAGTTGTGTGAAGTATGTGAAGAAGCACGAAAGTAGAATAAATGCTAAAGAAATGCGGTCTTTAAGGAGTATGCTAGGGTTGAATCTGAATGACATGGTGAGAAATTGCGTGATAAGAGATAAATGTGGTATGCAAGATGCTATTGTGTACCAGGATTAAGAAAGGAATGCTTCGGTGGTTTGGTCATGTAGAAAGAATGAATGAGGAAAGAGTGACAAAGCAAATTTATATGGCAGATGTGAATGGCAGAGTCGGGAAGGGACGCCCTAGAAAAAAGTTTATCGACCAAATTGGCGATATTTTGAAAATGGGCCACGTTACAAGTACCCTTAACCGACGAGCATGTATGCGTAGATATATGGATGTAAAGGAGGCGAAAGAGGTATGTCAGGATCGTGCCAAATGGAAGTCTGTAGTCTCTGCTTACCCCTCTGGGTGACAGGCGTGAGAGTTTATGTATGTAGTAAGTTATTATTTTGATGTTACAAACACACACTTCAATTTTATTTATTTGTATAAATTTATATTAGATTTAGAGGTCTTAAAAACAAGCAAGGGCATTTATTTTAAGTAGAATCTATTTCACCTCCAAATGACGTCATGAAGTAAATGAAGTGAGGTCAAAATCTAATGGTATAAAAACACATTATCTTCTTTCTTCTCACACTATTGTGAGGGCGCATATTATTAATAACTGGCTGGTACCGGGCGTGTTGCTTCCGCAGAAAAAGTAATTGAGGAAATATAATTTTAAATTTGGAAGAGTTATATCGTTTAATTCGGAATGATATGAACATTGAATGATATGTAACTTTCAAATATTTATATATTTATAAATTTTGAAGAGTTCTTTAATTAGGAATTATATGCAATGGAATGATACACTTAGGCATTGATTTATTAACTCAATGCACTTAGGTAACTTTCGAATAAATTTGTCGGTACGTGCGATACGCGTGCCACATAAGTTGTACTATGCCTATAACCAGTGATGCACAGACTTATTAAGACTAGGGACTAGGGAAATTATGAACTGATGGCGGGCCGCCAGGAGTATAGGTAAATATGAACTGATGGCGGGCAGCCAGAAGTATAGGTAATTATGAACTGATGGCAGGCCGCCAGAAGTATAGGTAATTATGAACTGATGGCGGGCCGCCAGAAGTATAGGTAATTATGAACTGATGGCGGGCCGCCGGAAGTATAGGTAATTATGAACTGATGGCGGGCCGCCAGAAGTATAGGTAATTATGAACTGATGGCGGGCCGCCAGAAGTGTAGGTAATTATGAACTGATGGCGGGCCGCCAGAAGTGTAGGTAATTATGAACTGATGGCGGGCCGCCAGAAGTGTAGGTAATTATGAACTGATGGCGGGCCGCCAGGAGTATAGGTAATTATGAACTGATGGCGGGCCGCCAGGAGTATAGGTAATTATGAACTGATGGCGGGCCGCCAGGAGTATAGGTAATTAAAGACAATAAAGAATTGATAATAATATATTAAAATTGAAAAAGAATTTATTAATTTGAAGCGTGGCACTGCATAGTGCTTACAATCTTTTTTATATTTGGCTCAAATTTACTTGTAGCAAGTAAACTTAAAGCAGCGATTTCGATTTTTTGTTTTATTATTATTTAGTATTGAGAAGGTTTGTTCACATATATAGGTAGAACCAAATAAGCTGGCACATTTCAGAGCGTTTATGCGCAACTCTTTGTACGTATTTTTATCAATGCAGCGGTAAAAAAGTTCAGCAAGTCTCCTTCGTTGAATTTGTTGCGTAAATCTTGGTCGTTTTGAATGTCGATAATTTCTAACTGCATTGACTCTGGCGCATTTTCAACTGAAATCGTGAAAGGATTGCTGAATATGTCCAACAATTTGCACTTTTAAACTCCGAATCTGTCTTGAAAACATTGAATCAAAATATCCAGCTTTTCTACATAACTGAAATTAATCGCAGTTTTGTTGAATTTTTCAGCCATATTCTTATAATTCGAAAATGATGATGGAAAATGATGTAATTTCCAGAATTCAATTGTGATCTGAAAAGTGTCAGCTTGCATTGAAAGGATGATACATGAGCGTAGAACTGGGATATCAGTTGATTTTTGCCTTGAAGCCGTGTGTTCAAGACATTCAAATGATTTGTAATATCGACTAAAAAAGCCAAATCACACAACCAATCAGGATTTTTAAGTTCCGGGACATCCCTTTGCTTTTCCGCCAGAAATATTCCAATTTCTTCTATTAAATTTAGAAATCGTTCCAGTGTCAATTCCACGACTTAGCCACCTTACTTCTGTATAATACAGTAAATCTCCATATTCGCTTTCGATATCATCAAGGAATTGTTTGAATTGCCTGTGATTGAGTCCTCGTGATTTTATGAAATTTACAGTCGAAACTAACAAGTGTTAAAAATTAAATTTTTACCACTTGGTAGTTTTTGAAATTCAATTTTTTCAGAACAGAGGGCTTCTTGGTGTATAATGCAGTGAAACTGCATGAGATCTTCAGCGTTTATATTTTTCTCGCAGATGCTTTTTCAGCAAAGTAACGCCCAGAATTGACACCAATCATCGAAGGAGCACCGTCAGTCGCAACTCCCGATAATTTTGATAAGTTCAAATCAATTTTTGAACACTCATCCAAAAGTACATTGAGTATATCAACTCCTCTGGTTTGACCTTTCAATGAACACATTCCTAATAACTCTTCTAAGACTTCAAAATCTCGAGTAACACCTCGTATAAATATCAGAAGTTGAGCTGTGGAACTAATATCAGTGGATTCGTCGAGTGCTAATGAAAAAAATTCAATGATCTTAGTTTTTTCATTTATTTGTTCCGTAATATTACCTGACAAAGACATAATTCGCCTTTGGATAGTCATACGATTCAGTTGAATTTTCTCAAACTTTTTTGCTGCTTCTGGACACATATTCTTAACGGCAATTTCTATGCATTCTTTTACAAGATCCCCATCATTGAAGGAGC